GAAAGGCGCCACGCCTTACCAACGCACACAAGATGGCTCGCCTCGAGTTTGCCCGGAAGAACGCGACCACGGATTGGAGACAGGTGCAGCTGTAGAACTAGGCGAAGCTTATGCACTGTAGAGTAATTTAAAGTCTTTAGGTGATCTTTTCCGACGAGAAGAAGTTCAACCTGGATGGACCCGATGGAGCCAGATGTTACTGGCGTGACCTGAGGAAGGACCCAGTGCAGTTCAGCAGACGCAACTTCGGTGGCGGTTCGCTGATGGTGTGGGGAGCCTACTGCTGGGACAGCAAGCTGGAGCTCGCATTTGTTTCCTGCCGAATGGACTCAGAAGAGTACCAGCAAGTTCTGGAATCCAACTTATTGCCGTTCCTGAGTCGCAGGCGACGACAAAGGTTGGTCTTCCAGCAGGACAATGCAAGTGTTCATGCTAGCAGGTCAACTTCCGCATGGTTGCAGCGACAGAAAGTTGAGGTTATGGCGTGGCCTGCGTGCAGTCCTGATCTGAACCCAATGGAGAACCTTTGGGGAATAATTGTGCGACGAGTCTACGCCAACAGCAGACAGTTTTCCACCATCGACGAGCTGCGAACTGCGGTCATGGATGCGTGGAGAAGCATCGACCCTTCAGTCCTCAAGAACCTAACAATGAGTATGCCGAATCGACTCATGGAGCTCTCATTCAAACAGGGTGCATCAGTTGATTATTGATTTTCATGAAGTGTACTGTTGAGTTTGTATAAATAAACTGTTATATGAAGTGGACGTATACTATGAAACGGTCGAAATTCGAAAAAATACTTCTAAATTATTTCTTTATAAACTTAAAATTTTGAAAACACGTTTTCCATAGTTTTTTAATGCAGCGAATCCGCTAATACATGCTGCTAAATTAGATCACCCCATTAAGAAAAGTTTTCTGTGAAATAAGGGGTGGACGTATACTACTGAAACGCACTGTATCTCTGCAGCAACCACAACTAGTAGGCTACGCTTCTTTCTGTGTGAGGTATTTCGGAGTGATCGATAACAAGTCACATTAGGGTAGCAAGACAGAATTCAGCGGTAACACTGGTCATAGTAAGGCTCCGTGGTTGGCGAGAATCCTCATGCGAATTCGTGATGGAGAAGGTGGTTTTCGTTTCCAATGATAATGTAGAAAGTTTCTACCGTGTGCTGTGTATTATGTCTTGCCTTGCCTTCCCCGATGCGTTAAGGTGAAGTGGAGTATTGTAGGTACAGATGGGTTAGCGGTTGGGGTAAGTGTATTGGATTGGTGCGTGGAGGAACGACCGAGAAAATCGTGGTTCAAGAAATTTCTTCACCGGGGGGCTGATTGTTGCAAATCATTGTTCGGCTTACAGAGTTTTGATGGGATGGATGTGTGAAGGAAACATTTGGAGAGAACGACCGGATCTTGAGAAGTCGTTACGAATCCTTGTCGATGATTCACATGGTGTAGTTAGAAAGTCAGGAGACAGTGGTGGAGGACTGTATATAGTCGGTATGTGGACCAGAGTTCAAGCTTTTCTTCTGCTAGATAAGGAGTTACAGGTTTCTCATCTTTTACGGAATTCTCGAATATTGACAACTGAGCTTTCAGAGTTGTTTTTTTTTTTTTCGATTTTGAACGTGTACTCCAGAATATTGTCAATTGACAGTCGAGTCGCTGATTAGGACAAGCTGGGAGACAAGGAGCGTGCCGGTAAGTGAGCCAGGAGCGATTGAGGATTGAAGAGGGTAAGTCGTGAGTATTTTTCTTTGGTGGGTCTTCGGTTAAACAAATTCCTGTTGGAAAATCGTAGAGGTTTTGTGGGGCGTGCTTGACAAATGAGATTGTGCAAACAGTTTTCATATGGACTTCAGGGGCGGTGCACAGCCCAATAGGGGAGGGATCCCACATTGGGGGACATTTCCCCAAGTGGAGAACATCCCAATTGGGGTCCTTCCCTAACCAATAGGGGAGGATCCCAACATGGGGATAATCCCCAACTTGGGGAATATCCAAGGCTTGGGGTAATCCCACCTGGGGATACATCCCCAACCTTGGGGACATATCCCCATCCTCGACATTCTACAAGAATCGTTCAAGGGTTTCGCCGCAGGACCCAGGGCTTCCGCACCTCGAAGGGATGCTACGTAAAAATCTGGGGCCGCACGCATAGTCGGTCGTCCGACAGCAACGATCGCAAGTGTCGCACAGTATTAGTGGTATCGTGTCAGAGTGCGACACTTACGCCGCAACGATCGTTGCTGCCGGACGACCGACTATGCGTGGGGCCTATGGGCGTCTGCGAAACGGCAGTCGCGACGCGGCTGTGTTACTGGAGCGCGCCAATCATCCATCAGTACTGTTACGGCCGTTAGGCCCTGTTCAGAGATGTCCGCTTACGCGAAAAAACGCACAGGCGAAAATCTCCGCCAAGATTTAGATAGCATCGATTGATAAAATGGGGAAACGCGTAAGCGAAACTTCCGGAGCAGGCGAATTTCAGTCAAGAGTTTGATATGTATCGACTGTGAGAAACGCACGGGCGAAAATCGCGTGAGCGAAACGTTCGGAAGTCGATATATGACACTCATTTTCGTCGATCCTCCCACTTCACGATTCTCCTACGCGTCGTCGCTCAGTCGATACATATTTTATTTTATTTCGCCTTTGCGTTTTTTCGCCTAAGCGGACATCTCTGAACAGGGCCTTATACTTAGGCAGTGTTCACAGTTTGCGCCACACGAGGAGGACGCTTGAAACGAACGAATCTGCGCAAATGCGTAAAGAATTAAATGCGTATCGATCCACAAAATGGGACGAGCGTCAAATCGCGCATTCGAATCAGCTAATCCTTGAAAGAAGTGAGTGTCCATCGGTCGAGCCAATCGGAGATCGTCACCATCGACAACGCGAAACGACGGTGCAAAAATCCTCCAGCAACGCTAATACGGCGTGCTCTACAATGTCGACACGCATCTAATCCTTTTCGCATTTGCATTCGCGCGTGCGCAGATTCTTAAGGTTGATATGTATCTGATTCTTTTCGCAAATTTGAATATTCACGATGATTTTCAAAACTGTGCACAGTGCTATAAAATGAAAGCAAGGTATGACGAAAAAAGCAAAGGAAGTACGACAGTGAAATAAAGGGTAAAAACCGCGAAAACAGCTTCATTCAAGCGTCGCCAGTGAGGGACGATCCCTATAGTTCCGTTGACGGACTACTTGCACTCTGCCCTTTACCGCCTCTGCGCTCTCTTTCGGGTCCCTCTCCTCTACCAGGCTTAGTTCTAGGGCATTCTCTAATCGTCTGTGCTCTAGCCATCGCGGCAGGACCACTGAGGAAAAATAAGTAGTGTAACCACTACAACTTGGGATATATCAAGTTGGGGAATATCCCAAGGTTGGGATCCTCCATCCCCAACGAGGGGTATGTCCCAACCTTGGGGATAATCCCCAACCTTGGGGGATATATCCCCAACCTTGGGGATATATCCCCAACCTTGGGGACATATCCCCAACCTTGGGGATATATCCCCAAGGTTGGGGACATATCCCCTCGTTGGGTGAGGGGAGGGATCCCCAAGGTTGGGGATCCCTCCCCTAGTTGGGGCTTGCTGCACGGCCCCCAGATCTCCGGAGACCGAGTGCAAGTGTCGGTAGTTGAGAGTACAGAGTTGGTTCACGGGGCACGAATTTGGATCATCGAGGGTCAAATTGGGGTGGAGAAGATCGATGTTAAACTAATTGAGCAAGGTTAAGGAAAATGCGAACGCTTGTCGTAATTGGAAGGAATGGGGTGTGGTTTGTGGGAAGGGTTTCGTTGTTCTGGCGAATTTTACAGAAGCGCGAAATGAAATACTATCTCCTATCGCCTCCCCCTCCCCTCCCCTTGGCTCGACCACCGTTTAGGGGAAGAAGTGGGGCGGAGTTGGCTGTGTCGACTGGTCTCAGAATGAGATAGTAGGAACAGCCCGACGGCGAAGGTGTAGTGTTCGGCCGGTAGGAGAAGAGGATTATAGGTAGTAATGTAAGATGATGGAGGGGTGGATATCTCCTAAAAGGGGTAGGGTTAGGGAGCAATATTTCTGGAAAAGGTGAATGCGACTGTTGACTGTTTCAAGGAGGGTCTTTAGGAATACACGGAACAGTTAGTACAGGTATGGCTGAATGTATTGGCCGACTGTAATAATGGGAGACGCCACCGCCAGTGGGCGGAGGTGACCTCCAATTGGAGTGGTGCTTATCGAAGGCGCAATACTCAGACGAGGGACGGCAATGGGTGTCTCAGGTAGGCAAAGGGGAGATAGGACGGGGCGTGAGTCGAGTAGACGAGGGCTAGAATTCGAAAATTCATGCTATTTACAACCGAGGCACGCACCAGCGACGCGTTAGTGCTTTGGAGTAACTAGTCGATGGGATAAAAGGGAAAGCATTATGTGACTGGAGGCCTTATTGTTACCATTATGCCAGGCGGGGTGGGGTAAGCACGTGGACCTCTCTGATCAGCATCTCTAAAAGTTCCATCCTCCTTCATGACATCACTTTAGTAGTTTACGCCTGTTGGATGATTCTTGTGAATTGAAATAGTGGTTTGATGAGGTAGTTTCGCTGATGCTTTATCTTTTTCCACCCTGAGGGAAGGTGAAAACATTAAACGTTGGTCTAATAAAAAGGTTCGGTCTTTTGTTTGGAAGTTGTAGCATTACGTTCTAGATTTGGGACCACGCAAATTTGTAGAAAGTTTGAATGGATTCACATTGTGATCAATCCTTTTGGGGTGAATAATTTTCTTTTGTGAAGACGCGATGGTCGGAGAGGTTCGATTCAGGGACTTGGTTTCCGGAAGGTTCAATTGATGAAGGCGTATCACCATACCCATTTTTGCTTGTGAAAAGCGGTAATGCTGGCATTAATGTGGACTGTCGTGATTTAGTCGTTGCAAGCCGAAGATGGTAATGGTTTTATCGTTGAATTGGAGGTGTTGGTGTGCATTAATTTGGGCGATGAATAAGGGCTGGATACTCTCCCATTTTAATCCCCAGAGGATTAATAGGAGGTTTGCTTCTACCGATCTCTATCTCTATTCGAAGGAGTTCCTTTCAGCATTTTCCGCCTTCTCCAGCAAAAGGGTCATCTTGAGGAGGATCAGATCGAGAAGCTGACGATGATGAGCGGGAAAGAAACCCGTGAGCTCCTGTATGCAATGCTCGAGGAGGGATACATTCAAACAAAGGTATATTTAGTTTCTTCTCTTTCACATGGGCAGCTATGTTTTCAATTAATTTCAAACTCTCCGCTTCTCGAACCCCTTTTATGGCTACAGGGTGATCTATCTTCTATCCCTACATCTTTTATCGTCATGTCACTCACACCTTCTTTCCACTATTATTTACATCAACATTTTTTGGCCACCTTTTGATATAAATTTTCAGCCAATTGGTCGTACCAACGATTTCGCACCGGCTCGAACTTTTTTACTATACTATGTGGATTTGCCACAGACTGGTGGCGAGGCCTGTTGAGTATACTCTGCAAAGGTAAGGCGAAGGTTATTTTGCTCGTTTGACATTTTGGATTTTTTATGATATAATCAGCATCATTGAGCGCGTATTATTGTGGCTGCTGTTAGTAAATCCAATGAGCTGAGCGTAATTCAGAAAAGTTTAAAAGTATGTAGAGTGTACTTAAGATTGGCGTTATATGCCGGCAGGCGGGAGATGTGGTGAGGGGCTGAGTAAGGTTTTCTTCATTGTTATTCGAGTTATCACGATTCTGTTCGGCTATAGCCTGGCCGATAAGTTCTCGAAGGAATATCTGCAGGCTCTGGATTTGCGATTTTCTTAGGACCAATGTGCTGTTTTGTAAGATTATAAAGATAATACTTGAATTTCGGCTAAACATCCTAATCACGATAATAATAAAAACGGATTAGTTTCATTCAGCATGTTTTCATATTGGACGTATAGCTTTATTGTAATAATCATGGGTGTAGTTTTGACGAAATGGTAGCCAGGCGGCAAAAGGTGAAAGTTGAGTGTAATTCCATTGCGTGAGCCAGTGGCAATGCCTGCTGTGATTCATAAAACGTTTTGTAACTACGCGCATGTGGATGAGTCTGCTCCGCCAGCTATGCCTAAGAGATATATACGTAGAGAAGACAGTGCTTGCCTCTCGCTTATCATTCACAATGATGTGGTAGCTGAACTTCCGGCAAATATTTCCAGATGTTGCGCAATATAATCTTACGTCGAGCGTATGAGACGAAGGAAAATCGCCTGCTAATTGAGCGTCAAGTGAAGATGGAGTCGATTATAGAAACGATAAATGCTGACGAAGCTCTGGATGAGGAGACCAAAAAGCAACAGGTATTGTTACATTTTACTACACCAGAATGGTCCCCCGTCAACCGCCGGGACCTTCCTTTCCTGCGCAAGCTTTCTATCCTCCGCTATGGTCCCTTCCTCCTGTGACACCAACACCTCGTGGAAGTGACGCATCATGACATGACGGTAGATTTTTCCGCTTCCCTTCCCCATCCTCCCTTCCTCTCTCCACTGCCCTCCAGCTGCCACTGCAGCACCATGTGGAATGAACGGAAGTGTGCTAAGCAGGTGTTTATATAGCCTAGAGTGTTATCACAATTATCCTGCTACAAAACATTGATATCTCAAATCCTGTAAGCTACCCGATTTGTTAGCGGTTGTTTATTCCATGAGCTCCTTATCACTCACTTCATTTTGCGGACGGACAGACAGACATACATACAAACCGACACACCAAGTTAGCGTTTATAAAATGGAAGGTTTTTTTTAATATTTTGTTTGATTAGGGAGGGATTGAAGCATGATTTGGAGCAGCATTTAAAATATTTGAAATCAGAAAAAATGAATTTCACATGAAGTGGTATTAATCTTTGCAACACGCTTTGAGGTTCTGCCCAGGGTGGGAAGGTCTGTTATAGTCTGGAATAAAAGCAGATGACATGCTAGCCATCCGTCGTCCCCTTTTTGCGATGCATCCTGATTCCTTCAAAATCTCAGTCGTTTTTACTGCGATCCAGCAAGCAGCGCCACGAGGTCTCTGACGATGTGTGCGTGAGACTGGGTTTGTACCCTTCCAGATGAGTCGATGCCAATTAACTGTCCACAAAGTGATGCAAGCCTTCGTTAGCGCGGGTGGCGTACAACTCAGAGTTTGACTTCTGGTCCGTGCGCATTGCCTTTAAGTCTGGAAGTGTTGGCATGTATACTCCAGAGGACTGCATATGTAATATGGTTTTGCCATGACCGAACTCGACTAATCCGAAAGGACTTGAAACGACCCTGAGTCGCTTCACCTTACAGACCTATTCGTTCGTTCTCAAACTTTCTTCCGCGACAAGTGAACTTTTAATCTTTTAGCGATGAGCGAGGTGGGGTTTCAGTAAGTGAGACTAATTTCCTGCTGATTTCAGCTAAGATTTGCTCACCAACGCATTATCTCGGTTGTTTCAATGA